AAAAAAAAAAAAAAAATGAAAGGCCACAAAGACAATGCTGTAATTATAAAAAACAGCACAAATGCACTTTTTTGATCTCTTACCTGATTTGGAAAGCAATTGTAGGGGCGCCTGGGTGGCTCAGTCGGTTAAAATACCAAATTTGGCTTAAGTCATGATCTCCCGGTGGAGGAGCTCGTGCCCTGAATCGGGCTCTGTGACGGCAGTATGGAGCCTGCTTCAGATTCTCTCTTTCCGTCTCTCTCTCTCCGCCCCTCTCCCACTTAGATTCTCTCTCAAAATAAATAAGTGAAAGTTAATAAAAAGCAATTGTATAACAATTATATTAATTCCATCATCAGGTCTATAGCATGTAGGCATGTAATATATTTGACGATAATACAAAAAGACGCGAGTAAAGCCGTATAGGAATGAGGAAATGACACCAGGTAGTAATGCTAATCCACAAACACAAGTGGAGGGAACCAGAAATGCAAATGGAGAAAATTAATATAACAAACTTTATAAATACATACTTGTCCTCCTTTAATTTCTCATGATTCTTTAACAGACATACGGTTGTAAGTAACAATTATAGCAACGCGTTGTTAGGTCTGTAACACATAAGAGACGTAATATGTATAGCAGTAATAGCACAATAATAACAATACTTTGGGACAAAAGGGGGAAGAGGAAATGAGCTCTATAGGAGCTACTATAGGAGTAACATTTTGGCATCTCATTAACATGAAGGCAGCATAAATCGTAAATAGATTGTAAATTAAGATGTACGTGTTAGGGGCGCCTGGGTGGCTCAGTTGGTTAAGCATCCTACTCTTGGTTTCAATTCGGGTCAAGATCTTGAGGTTCGTGAGTTTGAGCCCCACGTCAGGCTCTGTGCTGACAGTGTGGGGCCTGCTTGGGATTCTCTTGCTCTCTCCCTCTCTCTCCACCCCTCCCCTACTCTCACTCAAAATAAATAAATCAACTAAAAAACAAAAAAACAAGCAAACAAAACAACGATGGATGTGTGAAGCCCTAGAGCATCCACTAAGGAAATAACTTAAAAAATACAGTAGGCTTGAGGGTGCCTGGGTAGCTCAGTCCATTAAGCGTCCAACTTCGGCTCAGGTCATGATCTCACGGTTTGTGGGTATGAGCCCCGCGTTGGGCTCTGTGCTGACAGCTCAGAGCTTGGAACCTGCTTTCGGATTGGATTCTGCTTCCCCCTCTTTCTCTGCCCCCTCCCCTACTCATGCTCTATCTCTCTGTCTCAAAAATAAATATATATAAATATATAAATAAACATACATACACATATATACATACACACACACGCACATATAGTAGGCTTGGGGCGCCTGGGTGTCTCAGTTGGTTAAGTGTCTGACTCCTGGTTTCAGCTCAGGTCATGCGTGGTTAGTGAGTTCGAGCCCCACCTCAGACTCTGCACTGCTGGTGTGGAGCCTGCTTGGGATTCTCTCTCTCCCTCTCTCTCTGCCCACCCTCCACCCCCGCTAGCTCGTGCTCTCTCTCTAAATAAACACGTAAACTTAAAAAAAAAAAAGTTAAAAGGAAAATAAAAACAAAACAAAAATATACAGAGTACGTTCACGGTGCCTGCTTGCTAGTTAGAGCCCCACCTTGAGTATAGAGATTACTTAAAAAATAAAATCTTAAAAAATAATAAAAAATATTATATAGTAAAAAAAAAAACAATTAAAAGAATTAAAATGTTACACTAGAAAAGCCACGTCATGCAGTATAAAGCAGTAAAGACATAAATTCTAAAAACAAACGAATAAATAAATAAAGAAACAAACAAACAAATAAATTCCACACAAGAGCATCACGGTAAGTGGAACGCTCGGACTGCCACCCAGACACCCCTAGGCCGCCTACAACTCCCAGCGTGCCTGGCACTCCCAGGCTCCCTTACCAGTCAAGGCGGAAGGGGAGGGGCTAGTAGACCTACCTCCTGTGAGTTGTAGTCTAGCTGCGAACGAAGGCGGGGCTGTGTGAGGTTGGTGGATCCGGAGGCAATGAAAAAGCAGATCTGGTTGAGCGCCGGGCCGACAAACCAATGGGCGTGCGGCTTGCGGGAGGCGGGACTTCCGTCAACGAAGTCCTGGTGAGCGGCTGCGCGAGGGCTGCCACTTCCTTTCTTGGCTGGCGGCGAGAGCGGAGGGTGCGCCATGAAGGCCTCGGGCACAGTAAGGCGAGCGCGGTGGGGCAGGGGGCCGGGGAGTGCGGTGCGGAACGAATCCGGGGCCCCGGCAGGTGGCGTGGACCGGGTAGAGGGAGCGTGCGCCCGGCTTCGTCCCTCGCCACGCGCGCCACTGCCTTCAGGTGCAGCCAACATGGCGGCCATCGCGGGCGCCGCGTGGGGAGGCTAATGCCATGCTCCCGGCCCGCTTGGAAATCACGGGGCCCGAAGAGGCCGGGCCTCCTTTCCGGGGGAAGGGACAAGTTGCGCGACTTGGACGCTCGACCGACGGGACCTTGTTGAGCCTCCGAGCCTCAGTTTTCCCATTGGCGAAGAGGACCCAGTGGGAGGGTGCAATAATATTACTCTTCTCGGCGTGGCTGTGAGAAGTAGAAGAGAACTATAAACCCGAGTTGACACCGGGAGTGCGAGCCTTATCTGTGACAAGTGCTAGGTGAAATCAGAGGGCGCTGTGGCGCAGAGATGGAAGAGCAAGTCCCCGGGACCGAGGGGGTCATGTACAGCTCTCCAGCCTCAGGCCAGCCGCATCGGTCCCTTCCTGAACGGGTGGTCCGCGGGGCTGATGAGTCAGATTGAGAGGTGGGAGTATGAGCCGAGTTGGCGATACTTGGGGCTGTTATGTAAGTAAAACAGCAAGTCCGTGAGAGATACGTTCCTTTGTACTATATCGCAGAGTTTGGCCTTGGCCGACATACTTGTCTGTGCATCCGTGTAAACAGGGAGTTTCCACTGGGAAGTCCAAACCCCTTGGACTGCTGCTGGGAAACAGGTAGCTGCAGGTCCCGTGGCAGCAGTGCTGAGAGTCCAGAGCTGGGGAGGGCACTGGATTTTTTTTTTTTTTTTTTCCTGGTTCTGCCTGGAGCGTGCTGTGGGATTCCAGGCTGGTCACTGTCTTTGGGCCCCCGAGTGGAAGAGAACTTTGGGCAGACGTAGTGAGCCGCAAAGATGCAACGGAGTTAGGAGGCTGCAGGCCTAGGCTTCAGCTTTTCCCAGGAATGTAAACGGAAGGAGGAAGGACAGTGAGATTCATAGCCCTGCCCAGCTTTCTGGAGCCGAGGCAAAGGGTACACAGGCACCTTAGTGAATCCTCCCTGCCCTCAACCCCTGTTGTGGAAAGGCTGGGACAGTGGCGTGGCTCCTTCATCAGGATTCCACACGGATGCCCTGGGAGGGGACAGTCTTCTCTCTCTCCTGCTCCGTATTGGGAAAGGGAGCAGGGTCAATCTTCACGGTTGCCTCAGAGCTCTGGGTCAGGCCTCATCTCACCCCTGTTTGTCTTTCAGCTGCGAGAGTACAAGGTGGTGGGGCGCTGTCTGCCCACCCCAAAGTGCCGCACTCCACCGCTGTATCGCATGCGAATCTTTGCACCTAATCACGTTGTCGCCAAGTCCCGCTTCTGGTACTTTGTGTCTCAGCTGAAGAAGATGAAGAAGTCTTCAGGGGAAATTGTCTACTGTGGGCAGGTATGGGGCGTCGGAGACAGCGTGAGGTCTGGAGTGGGTTTACACGTTCCTGTGGGGGCCTTCCTCACTGCACAGAGTTCCCAGACTTCATAACCCCTGGCCTGTTCGAATGTGCTGTTGAGGCCCTAGGTCAGGATGGGACGGATCCCTCAGTGCCCTTTTCCTAATGAAAGAGCCCAAGGCCCAGAAGGGTGTGGCTGGCATGCCGGGACACCTTGGCTGAGGCCCGCGCCTTTGCTGGACCTCATCTACGAAGGTGCCGTCACTTAGGCACGTTTGCTGTGTTGGGCACTGGACTCTGCGTCATACGGCCGCACAGGGTGGCAGCTGGTTTTTGGTCTAGATAGACCTGGGTGAGTGGCGTTTGGGAGGAGCCTGGAGCTGGTGGTCCACACGGGGGGAATATCCAGGCCTGGGCTGCTGTGTGCCCCCCGGCTGTTACGGTGGGAATTTGTCCTGGGACAGCAGGTCTTCCTCGTGTACTTCAAAATTCAAAGACTGGGAGATAGGCTCGGGAGAGGCCTGGGGCTGGGCTGTCCTTGGAGCAGCAGGGGCAGGTGATCAGCCAGGGTAGCAGACGTTGGGCTCGAGCCCGCTCCCTCCGCTTGCCTCAGCCAGCTTCTTTGGCAGGTGTTCGAGAAATCCCCCTTGCGGGTGAAGAACTTCGGCATCTGGCTGCGCTACGACTCCCGCAGCGGCACCCACAACATGTACCGGGAGTACCGGGACCTGACGACCGCGGGCGCCGTCACCCAGTGCTGTAAGCTTCCGGTGGCCACAACCCGGTTTCTCCTTTAGACTCACCTCGCAGGCGTCTGCAGCTCATCTGCCTGTGTCCTCCCACTGCTTCAGACTGAGGCAGGACGGGGAGTGGGCGGTCCCAGGCATGGTGGTTGGGATGCAGCGGCAGTGTCTGTGTTTGCTCAGGGGACAGGAGTGGAAGGGATGTTCCGGGTGCGTCTTTTTCCGGAGCCTGGCAGCAGGCGGACCTTTGGAGTTGATCGCTCGTGTGGCGATAATTCCCACCCAGAATCTAGCCGGGGCCCTCTCCGTAACGGATGTGGTGCCGGTGGCCCCAAGTGCTCCCAGGGCAGGTTGCCTGCCGGGGCCACAACCGAAGCACCTCAACCCAAGAACTGCTGTTTCTTGTAATGGCGGTTTAAACAGAGGTGCTGACAGCAAGTTGATCTCGTCGCCTTTGGGGGGCTGTGGCCGTGCTCCTCAAAGTGAATTGAGAGGTTCTACAGCCCTGGTAGCCCACGCCTGTTGGGGTCCTTCCGGGTCAGTACTTGACGGGGGGTTTAAGGAGTGCGCGGACCCCCGGCACACGTTCACCTTCGCCCTCTGCAGACCGAGACATGGGTGCCCGGCACCGTGCCCGGGCCCACTCCATCCAGATCATGAAGGTGGAGGAGATCGCAGCCAGCAAGTGCCGCCGCCCGGCAGTCAAGCAGTTCCACGTGAGTGCCCTGGGGGCCCTGCTGGGTGGGCTGGGCTGAGGGGGGGGGGGTCTCCCCTGGAACATGGAGCTGGCCTAGCTGCTCCCCTGTCCCCCAGCCTTGGGAGCTGCAGGGAGGCACTGGGTTTGACGCAGGAGCCCGGTGGGGGGTGGCCACACCTCAGTGGCCCCTGGAAGAAAGGTTAAGAGGCTTCGTCCCCCTCACCCATCTCTCCTTACCACAGGACTCCAAGATCAAGTTCCCGCTACCCCACCGGGTCCTGCGTCGCCAGCACAAGCCACGCTTCACCACCAAGAGGCCCAACACCTTCTTTTAGATGCAGAGCCTCCCTGGCCCCAGGTCCGCCCAAATAAACTCCTTGGGAAAACCCGGGTGCTCAGACACGCTTGTATTCTTTGTACACCCTGCAGAGCTCAAAAGGGCGCAGCCAAGCTGTGAGTTCTCTGCTCCGGCAGGGGTCTTTCTCTCTTGAAATGGGACCCAGACACTTGATTTCTCCAGAAGGGGAGCTCTAGAAATGAGAAGGCCACACCCCCTGGGACTTCATCCAGCAAGGGGCTGTCATGGGCCGGGTCCTAGAGCCAGAGGGCCCATCTTTCAGCCCCATCGACTGGCCCTCTGCTGTGAGCTTTGTAGCGTGTTGCAGGCCAAAAGGTTTGGCCCCTAAACCTGTTCCACCTGCCTTGTGAGGCACAGGCCTCAACTCTCCTCACGTCTGTGGTAAGCTGTGGCACTTGGATGCCTGGAAGGAATCGGGATGTTAGGGTTGGTTCATTCCACCTACGAGTTTTCCCTTCCAGGCTTAGAACCCTAGTCTCTGGTTCCGGGATCCTCAGAGCAGACGTGAGGGGGCACCTGAGAGGGCTGTGAGCTGTGGTAGTTTGTCCTTCGCTGGCTTGGGGGCCCCTCAAAGGACACCCTAATCCTGCCCAAGGAGGTGAAGGACTCACTGGGTATCTGTCTCCAGGCAACCGCTTACAGCCTGGGGAATTCTAGGCATGAAGCTAATCCCACCCTGGCTGAGCCCATCGGGAGGCCGACACAGCCAGGAAGGAGCAAGGATCTTGGGAGGCATCTGTCCTTGGTTTGTGACCTTGAGCAGCCCCGGCCCTTTGAGCCTTGATGTTCTCAGAAGATGAGGGCACGGAGCAGATTTAATTTACTCGGTTGACAGTACTGGGGAGAGTCGCAACTACGGGCACCGGGGGCAGAGGTCAGTCAGGATCGCCTTCTATTCCGGGGAGCCAGGGAGCGAGAAGAAGGCAGGGCAAGTCTGTGTGGAGTGGGGTGTGGGGAGCAGTCTGCGCTGGAGTGTCCCAGGCAAGGGTACAGCCTCCCCTCTCCCACTTGGGGGGAGGGGGCTAGTTGGCATGATCAGTCTGAGTGGTTTCCGGAAAACTAGGTCCTTTCAAATTCCACCTATGCTTGGAGCGGCACCCAAGCCAGGGTTTGTGCACAGCCAGCCGTTGTCATAGGAAAGATCCCCGAGGATGGGGTGCCAGGCTTCCGAGACCTTCGCGGCTGCCCTGTCTGCTGTTTTCGAGTGGTTCTTTCCCATCTCCAGGCCTTTGTGCTTTGATGGCTAAAGAAAAATCACTTCTTAGGATTTGAATTTGCTATTTTCTTAGGAGGTGGGCACTTTTCTTTAAGTAAAAATACTTGCGTGGTCTCGGCTCATTACGGGGCTGCGGGTCATTTTTTAAGTTACTGTTTTGTAAAGGTCTTTATGTATGTAGGCGGAAGATGTGAAAAATACATGTTTTTCCCCATAGATGGTACAAATACTTTTCTAGGGCACTTCATGTTTCTTAAGGTATATTTGGGGAGCCAGGCTAGAGTTTTTGAACTTTTTGCCTTGTTGATTTCATTAATCTTTTGGGACTTCGGGCAGAAACTCCTCCTCCTTTCTCAGTAATTGGATCTCTGTATCTAGATGCCCCCCACAAAGAAAAAATCCATTTCCCAGCCTTCTCATCTGGGAGTAATCACGTGATACTAGCAGTGGTGATGTCTGCCATTTCCAGGATGTCCCCATCTGGCTGGAATAGAGGCAGGATGGCCGGTGCGCCAGCAGCCCTCTTTGGCCATCGAGAAGCCACACTTGAGCAACAAAGTGGAAGGGCCTCGGACACCTGACCCTGTGTCTGCAAGATTAGAACATGGAGAAGGAGCCCCAGTCCTGCTTGGACTGGAATCTGGAGCCCTTCAGTCAATTGTGACTTGGTCTTGAGGTGGCCCTAATGGTTGTGCCTGGGGCTAGTCACTACCCACTCAGCTTTTGTTCTGTGTGAAGTGGGGGTGGGGATAGTTCAGGTGAGCTAGAGACTGGATGCGTCACTGGGAAAGTGGAAGGCCAGGGCCTCGACAAACTATCCATGTTACAGCCTGGGGGCTGGCTGGGAGGGCTCTGCCCAAATCAGCCAAATGGTGGAGTCAGTCCCACTATTGAGGGACCTTTGAACAGATGATGAGTGCACCCCAATTCCCTAACTTCCATGTCTTTGTTCACCCACCCCCCCCCCCCCCCGCCCCGGCCATCTACTCATTCTTGCCTGCAGACCCCTCTACTGTGTCCCCACCCCATGGACCCTGCACAGAGCAGCTGGCAGGAGGTGGAGACCACTGAACTGGGCCCTCCGTCTCCAGAGGTAGGTGAGGTGCTGGAACCACGCAGAGCGAAAGCCCAGAGTAGGTGGCGATGGGCCCTTCGTTGTGAGGCCCATGAGATAGGACTGGCCTCTTGGACTTTTAACCCTCTGGCTGGCTGGGGTCCAGGGAGGGGAAGGTTCTTTTGGGATCACCCAGCCAGCTCAGGTGGACAAGAATGTGGAACCCGCAAGGCCCTGGTGGGCCTCTCCTGCTTCCGGCGCTGAGACTCCCAGGTCCTGTCCCTGGGTTTGTCCAGGTGCCAAGTGTCATTCCTGGGCTGGGAGCCCTGGGGGAGAGACCTCATGAGCTGCCCCTCACTCCTGAGTCAGGGACCATCAGGGACAAGGGCGGGCACCAAGGCAAAAGTGGGACAAGTGGGGGTCCCAGAAGACCTGACCCAGATCCTGAAACCAAGAGAGACCGAGAATTGTGGAATCCTAGAACCCAGTTGGGGTCCTCAGGATGTAGGAATCGTGGAATCTCACAGAGCACGCAGCACCGTTAGTAAAAAAAAAAGTTTGCTTTTACTGAGTGCAAGGTAGAAGTTCAAAGACAGCCAGCCAGAAGGTCGCGCTGGAGCCACAGTAGCTCATAACCAGGGAGCTGTGGGAGCACTGTGGGTGCCTGGGCAGCAGGCAGGGTTGGGAACAACAGATCCCCGTGCGACAGCCCCTTGTGCGTTCAGACTGCAGCTGCCCAGCCTTCAGGGTCTCCCTGCCCCTCCTCCACTGGGCTGCGTCCTGCTTGCCCCCTCCCTGTTCTGTGACGGGAACTGGGCAGTCAAGGGAGGTAAATCTCACCACCCTGCTCCCCGTACTCCCCCCCCCCCCCCAACCCCCGGGAAGATGGTCCTACACACCTCTTCAGGGTTTCCAGAACACGTTCCCATCCACCCATCTCTCCCCGCCACACAGCCACTGCCTTGATTGGACATGGCGGTGGGCTTTTCAGAATCTACAAATCTCACTAGGTCCCTCTGGCTCCAAACTCTCCAGTGCCCACGGTCCCTCCCTTCCCCACCGCCAGCGCCCTCAGAGTAAATTCCACACACTTCACCAAGGCTCGAGGTCCCTCGTGGCTTTCCCTGTCCTCACTCTGCTTATTTGTTCCACCTCAGAGCCTTCGCACTGGCTGTTCCCCCTGCCCCAAGTGCCCTTCCCCCCCACCCCCGAAGCTTGGCTCGTTCCCCGCCTTCAGGTCTGCAATCACCTCGGAGAGCTCCCCTCCCCGAAGCCCCACATAAAGTCGCCCCCCAGGCCGGCTCCGTCTCCGACTTGACTTCACACTTGTCACCCGTCAGCTTCTGAAATGTGCGGTCATCTGCTGGCTGGGTCAGTGCCCTGTGCCGGTGAGCGGTAGGGGTCCGCCTGGATCCTACTGCGCCCCCAGCAGCCGCGGCATGGTTCTGCACACAGTAGGCACTCAATGAATGCGCCTCAGCCCGAGCGTCAGTCTGTAGCCTCCCACCTCACAGTAGAGAAAGGCCGGCAGGGGCTGGTAACCGCTCCCGGGACCCCCCTGGCGATGAGGACTAGTTGGCCTGCTCTGCAAAGGTTTGCATATATTTGCATCCGTTTGCACGGCTTTTGGGGACGGGGATCCCCACGCGGATTTCCTCTTCCCACCAGATTTTCCAGGAGGGTGCAGCGAGGCCGGGCCTGGAAAGCATGGACGCGGAGGAAGGAAGGGAACTCGGTGTCCTCCCCACCCTCCTGGCCCGCGTTGAGGAGTGCATGACAGCGGGCAACAGATGCCCGTGTGGCAGCCGCAGAATGGGAGTCCCGTGGGGTGGGGTGCAGGCCCTCTCCGCACCGCTCGCCGAGAGGGAGCGAGAAGGCAGTCCCCCCCCCCCCCCCCCCCCCCCCCCCCCCCCCCGCCGGACACTAAGGGATGAAGGGGGGGAGATGCTGGACCAAGCGAGAGTGGCGTGTGTCGACCAGAGAAGACCACCAGGGGGCGGCAGAGGCTTGGGGAGGACTCCGGTACCCTCGCCTAGAACCCCGCGGTTTTGATCCCTCCCGCTTTTGCAAGGAGGGAACCCAGTTTGGGGAGACCAAGTCAGGACTCAAGCACCGAGGTCCGAGCCTCCAGTGGCCAAAGTCCCTCTGGTCCACCAGCGAAGGGCCCCAAGACGACAGCGTCTGCGTCCTTTGATGGCACGACCTCAGGCAACGGGCTTCGCCTCCCCAAACTGGGTCTGCTCATCTGTGCCATAGGGACGTGTCACATACTACCTCCCAAGTAGTCGTGGCCCTCCATTTATTCTGGCTCATGGCCACGGACAGCCCCTCCCCCATGACCTCCATTATACATACACTTAATGCCTGGCGCAGGACAGTCGCTCCTTGCCGGTGCCATGCTGGAAACCACAAATGAATAAAGAGTGAATGAGGTGCTTACTCTGTGCCGGGCTTGTATTATGCAAGTTCAATTTATTTCTCCGAGGCAGGGGCTGTTATATGCCCATTTACAGATGGCGAAACTGAGGCCCAATGACAAAGATTCCCCCCAAGTGTGTGCATTTAAGCCCTGAACCCCAATGTTTCCCACTCAGCTTAGCCCGAGGTTGGGGCTTGGTGATGCCCTCCCACTGGGCTCCGGAGAGAGGGAGTGGGTCCAGATGCCAGTTGGGGGAGGGGTTCAAGCGGCAGGACAACCCAGAAAGTGAACCCCTGTCCCGTGGGAGAGTGAGCTCCCCTCAGCCTAAGGCACAGAGGGAAGCACAGCGGCGAGCTGAATGCGGAGGCCAGCTGTGTGGCCGGCCTCAGGTGAGTGACATATGCCATCTCGGAGCCTCAGTTTCTCCACCTGTCGACGCGAGACATCATCAGCTCGTGGGGAGAGGAAACCGTCACACAAAGTAAGAGGGGCGTTTGGGAGCCTCCCCCAGCAGCCACCCACGTGGTCGGTCATGGGCCTTTCTGACCCAGTCCTGCGCGGAAAGGGTGCGGGTCCTGCCCGCCCCCGAGTCCAGGGGCGGAGTTTCGCGCACCCGGGGAGGCCAATAAATTCACAGCCGGTCGCCGCGAGCTGCCCCTTTAAGCCCCACGGAGGCCACCGGTGGTCAGCGCTGAGCCCAGCCCCCAGGGAGAGGGACCGACGGCCGCCGGGCGGGGGGACACGCCGCTGCGCTGGGCAGCCCCGGGCCGAGAGGGGGAGGCGAGGTGGACGGACAGGACAGACAGACGGCAGACGCGTAGACGCCGAGGAGGGACGGGGAGGCAGACGACCGCCGCGAGGATCCACAGATCCCTTGCCCAGGGAGCCCCTGCCCGAGTCCCGGTCGCTGCCTCCCTCCAGGGAGCGACGGAGACAGGCGTGCGGCCTCGCTGCGGGGGCCGAGCATCATCCCGCCTCCACGCGGCCCTGCCTCCTCGGCCGCTGCGGGTTTCCCTTCCCCGGGGCACGCGGGGTGGCTAGAAGGGCCGAGGACGCGCTTGGCCCCCCGCACCTGCGCGTCATGGCCGCCGTCCAGGGCGAGGCGCGGGCCGCGTTTGGACCCTGGGACTACGGGGTCTTCGCCCTCATGCTGCTGGTGTCCACGGGCATCGGGCTGTGGGTCGGGCTGGCGCGGGGCGGGCAGCGCAGCGCCGAGGACTTCTTCACCGGCGGCCGGCGCCTGGCGGCCCTGCCCGTCGGCCTCTCGCTGGCCGCCAGCTTCATGTCGGCGGTGCAGGTGCTGGGCGTGCCGGCCGAGGCCTACCGCTACGGCCTCAAGTTCATCTGGATGTGCCTGGGCCAGTTGCTCAACTCCCTGCTCACCGCGGTGTTCTTCCTGCCGGTCTTCTACCGCCTGGGCCTCACCAGCACCTACCAGGTACCGGGCGGAGGCCCGGAGGCAGGACCCGCCCGGCTGAGGACGCAGGGATGCGGCGGGGAGGCCCTGGGACTTTGAAGCGCTGCCCAGGGGGCCGCAGGCGGGCTCTCGGGTGCTTTAATGGGGAGAGGAAGGGGGCAGGCAGCCCTACGAGAGGGTTCTGGGAAGTCGCCCCAGGCAGTGGGGGGAGGGTCAGGAAGGAGGAAGAGGAGCCGCCGTCCCGGTTCTCCTCGGTGGAAGCCCGCGAAAGGCGGAGCCAGATGTGCACGGAGTGTGGGAAGGCTCATACCTGCCCCCCACATGCCTGGGCGTGCGCACGCCCGAGCCGTCGCCGGACAGCGGGCGCAGGGTTCGAAACCTGACTTGCCTCCTCCCTCGGCCCGGGTTTCCCAGTGTCAGACTGGGCTGATCAGGGGGCCTAAAGGGATTCAAATCGTGACCGGTCCACAGTGGGCGACCGACGAGAGTTGGCCACAGGCGCTGGGCAGTTCGCGTGTTTGTTCAGAGCGGCGCCGCCCCGGGGGCCAGTTAGCCGCCAGTGGGGGGCGGAGGGACGTGAGCACTTCGGCTGGATCGGGCTTCCCGGGCACACGCCTTGCGCACAGGTTGTCTGCAGACCGGTCGGAATGTGTGCGCTTGGCGGGGGCCCCCGCGGGGACGAGCGGAGAGCAGAAAGGCCTCCGGAGGGAGGGCAGAAGCCGGGAGGGCGGGCGAAGCACCCCAGAGGCCTCGGTCTCCTGGGTAGGACCTGCCCAGGTGACCACGAGCCTCGGCTCCTCCTTGCAGTACCTGGAGCTGCGCTTCAGCCGCGCTGTGCGGCTCTGCGGGACCCTGCAGTACCTGGTGGCCACAGTGAGTGGCCTCGGTCCTGCCCTCCTCGCCCGCAGGGTCCCGCTCCGGTCCCGCTGGGGTCCCGGTC